TTTTTGATGTTACCTTAAAAAAACTCAATGTTTCAAGAGAAGCCATAAAAATGATGTTCTATCACTATCATCCACATAAACTACTTCAAGAGAATCTAAGTGATGATTGTGATAAACTAAATTTGAAGAAAGGTAAGTATTACATTTTGGTGAAAAAAAGTATAGGTTCACATCATATTAGATTAAGCCAGAAGAACAAGTTAAAAATGCATTATTGCTTGAGAAGACAATGTCAAGCTACACAGGCAGTTAGCTCAAAAGTACATTCAAAGTTAAGTTTAGAAAGAAAAAATATTCCTTCTCAGTACAAAATAATAAACAGAGAATATTCCTTTTACATATATATATATATGTGCTGTTTTTTTTCATCACAAAAACACACTGTTTTTTACTTTTTTTTTAAATATATATATATTTATATGTCCAATATTATGAATCAAGTTATCCTTAGTTACAATTTCCATGAAACAACTTTCCTAATTTTACTGCTTGTTGCTGTAAATTTCAATAAAAAATTAAATAAGTGCAACACTTGTAAACATACTTTTATTTTTCCTTTCATGTTTTGATACAATTACATACCTGTGAAGTTACAGTACCAGAAAGTCAATTATGACCAGTATAGTCAATATTGTTGACAACTATATTTTGGGTCTGCTTATTAAACTTACAGTAAAATATCAAATAGTTCTTACCCAAACAAGTGTCTTTATTAAAACAAAAGTTAAAATGTATTTTCAGTTATGCAGTACATAATTAATAGTTATTTTTTTCCTAAACGAATCCCAAACATTGCTCTATGCAAGAATGTAAAATTAAGATTATACAAGACTTATGGCAGTCTAGTGGGTATGGATGGTTATTTTCTAATAGCTTCTTAAACATAAAATTATAAAAATTATGGCAGTCTAGAGGGTATGTTATGCGAGTGGTTACTTCCAAATAACTTCTTGAACTTAAGATTAAAAAACTTATGGCAGTCTAGTGGGTATGGTGTATGGATGGTTATTTTCTAATAGCTTCTTGAACACAAGATTACAAGTATTGTGACAGACTACTGGGTATATTACGTGGGTAATTATAACAGCTTCTTGAACTTATGATTATAATAATTGTAGTAATCTAATGGATATGTTGTGTGGGTGATTATTTCTTAATAACTTATTTTTTTGTGTTTGAGCTTTCAATCTGGATCATTTGTTCTCAAGAAATTTATGCTTATTTTGTAATGACAATTACATGAAACTGACTTAATAATATGTTAAAAAGTATAAAGCGTGATAAATGTATACTTGAACTTCACTATAACAGTGAACTTTATAAATGGCATATTTGTTAAAATAAATCAAAATCTTATATCATTCAGTTAAATTTTTGGCTCCATCATTACTTGATGTTAAAAAAAAGGGGTATCTAAAACAAAAGTCATATTTTGGAAAACAATCATACATAAGATATGCAATATAAAAGAGACTAAACAACACTACTTAATAAAAACACATATAAAATATTTCATTCAATATAAAGAAAACACCTTCAAATTATACATGTGCATATATTTTCTAGAACTATAAATCACTTCATGTCTTAAGAATATCCTATTTCTATTTTAATTTGTTTAAAAAATATTCTCTTTAAAATGATATAGTATGCATATGTGTGTGTTTGGTTTTTAAATTAGACTACAATTGTTTATAATGTATAAAACAAAACATTTTCAATACTGCTTTCAAATTTCTCTTGAAGTATACAAAAACTTCTGTAGATTCACAAATTGTTATTACATACATTTCCTAATAAATGTAATACAGAAATAAAAAAAATTCCATGTTATCACACATTATTTTTTTGGAAAAATTATAATATAATGTTTAATAAATCACATGCTGTGTGTGTTTGGTGTCATGAAGGACAAACAGTTAATTGTAATTTTATCCCACAAATGAGTTAATTGGCATAAGCTTAAAAACTTGTTATAAAAGATAAGTCTTTATTCTTTTAGAACTCTTTTTTTTTATCCCTGTAACTTTAAAATAAAATGTATAGTTATTTCAGGGTAAGTATGTTCCAATAACCAGTAAGTCTGAACATGAAAAGTTAATATTACAAGGAAAATACACTGTTCTTTAAGGTAAAGTTTCACGTAATAGATGGGATTGTATATGAAATAAAAGTTTATATAAAATATTCAAAGGGCACACAATGTTCGAATTGTCCCCATTTAATACTATGTTATATACTATTGAAATATTATAGTGATTTTGGAAAGATGCATATTCATTTCAAGGACCTTAAACTTTTACACTTAGTATCTATTAAACTGATTTATACAGTTAATCTTAACTCCAAGAGACTCCTACAAGATTTATTAGTCTATCACCTATTTGATTGCCAATTAATGCAAAAGTGGAGTTAAGGTTAGAAAAAAAAAACATTATAATAATAGTTGGTAACATTATCCATGCAATTTTACATAAAATACTGCTTACATTGCTGGCCTGGATTTGTACAAAAATCATGAATAAAAGAAAATAATGATATATGTATTTATTTTAATGGTATACTTATTCTATTTAACAGTGAACAGCATAACCTAATATCTCATGTCACTTCAGAAATGCATACTTACTGTCCTGTTTTTAAAGTTCTTATAAACATATTAGGCAGTAATTTTATTGACAAGTTTCAATACTAAGAGAAACAGTCATCCTTAAACTAGTGTTGGAGAGTTGAGTCTAATTGACAAAGAGTGCACGAATTTATATGAAATTACAAATTATACTATGCCATGACTTAGTTACATCCAAATCCAAGAAGTGAGAAAACTCAACCACAAAAATTATGTACCAAGTACGGTACACAAGTATATTTACACAAACTAATAAAGTTTCAAAATTACATATAAAAACCTCAAAATGTCTCAAAAAATGAGCTTCACTACCAACAGTCTGATCAAACCAATATCAACATCTACTTAAGACCTTCCCCCCCCCAAAAAAAACAAACTGTAGTCAAAAGCATATGGACAAGACCAGTTATATGTTTTTAGTTTTCCAGTAAAAATATATCTATGAACATTAAACATAATTTTCCAGCTAAATCATACAGTTTATTTAAATAGATTTAAAAAAAATATAAATCTTCTATCAATAATGCATGGCAAAGTCAGCTTGTGAATCTGGTAAATCATGTAATAAAGAATAGTGTGATCATAAAATACTTACAACTGCATAGTGACTTTAGTTTTTACTACATTAACCTTTACACAAAAGTCTAGCACAGGAACATTGCAACATCAATTTGAATTACAGTAGTCCCTGTGGATACGACCCCTCCCAATAACAACTTCCTTTTAAATACGACTTTTTTGGGGGGCACAGAATGATCTTACATTGATCTCACCTCACACGAACGACTTTCTGACAGGTGCGACATATGACCATGAATGTTGGGCTGAGGGTTGGATAATCACCTCTCTATACCGACTTTTCTTAATTTCAATAAAAACGTATAAACATATTGTGTGTTCATTTACTTGATTTTATGTGTACAGGTATGTGTTATAATCTGAATTGGTGATGATTAAACTGTAGTTTGTTGATGTCCTCAATGGGTGAGTGATTAGATGCCACACCACACAATGAAAATGAATATGAAGGCTGGGAAATTTTCATATTTTATGTAATATTCTTCAAAATATGAATATCTCCACCTCGATTATTCAATGTGATCAGAAAAAATTAATAATTCCAACAGTAATTACTGCTTTATTACCCCAGTTGACACGTGAGTGTTTTGATAAGTAATGCACCATTGGCCAGGAAAATGAGACCCCATGATGCATGATGGTAAATGTGCGTTTTTTTTAGATGTCAGATGATACGTGATGTAGGTAAGTAATTCTCCCAGTGAGTAGTTAATCTGTGGCTTGCTGTATAAATATGACACATATCAAAGAATAAATCACTTACATTTTTGTACAGAGATCGATTCTGTCTCATAATGCCTCAAGAAAAGTGAAAGCATAAACACTTCACTCTCCAAGAAAAGATCAAAGTCATCAAAACACACGAAAAAAGTGCCAAATATGTTCATATTGCTGCTGAAATGCAGGTTGGCAAAATTCAAAGTCACACAGTTGTTGCTGATAAAGTTAAAATTAGGGATTTATGGGGAAGCGGTTCTAATTCAAACATGAACATCATAAAAGTGCATAAAACTGCAAATCAAGAACTTATCAAGCTGATTAGTTCTGTGATGCTAGAGCTAAGAACATTCCTGTTACTGAAAAGTTGATCCAATATAAATTATTTTACATAAAACACAAATAAAACAATTTTAAGTTATCTTTATTGAACTATTATTGATCATAAGTATTATTAAACCAATTTCTATGTCATCTAATTACTTATACAGTATATAAACCATTATGCTCAAGCCTTGGCAATAGCGACTGGCACAGTTTGAACTTGGATGTTTGTTATCTGGTTATTGATCCTTTGAATAATGACTTACAGCCAGATATGACTTTTTATCATCGGAGATAGGTCGGTCGTATCCAATAAGGACTATTCTACCTTTATAATAATAATAATAATAAAAGAAAAACTAGAATGACAAAGATTACATGAACAATAAAAACAATTGTCACACAAATGAATATATCAATACAGATTTGTAAAATATGATAATAGAAAAGCTCAGCCATCTAGCTAGAATCTATGGCACTTGCCAATTTATTCAGATTACTAGTGTATGAAAACTGATACACCAAAATGAAAAATACATTCCTAATAAAATGTATAAAAATAAACATGATGAATTGAGATTGGCAGGCTATCAAGTTTTAGTATATTTTCAAAACTTGAAATACAAAGCTAACCTTATTTTTACAAAATTTGGTCACATAAAAATTACCAAATATTTGACTATCTACAATCCTAAAAAAAAGGACCATTGCAAAAATTAAAGTTTTTCTTTAAGATGAATCATACAAGGGCTTGAAAAAATATTTTTTTTTCTATGTTAAAAATAAACAGTTGAAAGATTGGTTTTGAGTCTTCTAGTACACTATTTAGAACCATATAAAAAATTCCAACAAATGAGAACACTTCTTTGTCATGATACTGAGGATATTGGATTGTGTGGTGAACCCATCTGTGTTAGTACTTTGTCCAGCCACTGCAAAGGTCCATGAAGATGAATTTCAATCCAGCAAGGAGTAGATGTAACATCTTGACGATGGTACTCTGCTCCCCAGCCTTTTACAAAACTCATGCGAATAGTACACATTTTTGTCAGTTCATATACTGCTTCAAATCCATGATTAATAGCTTGACTTAATAACTGAGCAAACTCCTGAAAAAAAAAAATAATACTATGTATCAAAAACAATGATTTTGTATAGAAACTCACATATATTATATTACAATTTGTCATTAGAGAAAATACGAAATGTCCTCAATCAATAGCTCTCAACTCAGCTCTAAATGATACTCCATATAGTATAATAATGTACAGTAAGAAAATTTCAACACGTTTGAAATTTTTAATTAATGAGTCACAGGAAGGCTCATGGCCTCAAGATTCTAAAAGGATTAAATATTTACTATATAGATAATAATTTAAATGAAAATAATACAAGTTTCTAAATTATATCTATATGAATAAACAAACAGTTTAATAACTGTAAGTTTCTCAGCTAGTTAATAATTTTTAAATTATGCTTAGGATATTTTACACATTAATCTGACTGTCAATAACTGTGCTTTTAATAAACCTAGTTCTTCATCTGATCATTAAAATATTTATAAAGTATACACCCAAGGTAGAATATATTTTACACAGCAGTTGATGTGGTTTTCAAAGACTGTTTTAACTGAATGAGCACAGGGTTGGTCCAATGGAATAACCCTATATTGGAGAAGAAATATTGAATATAATTTTGTACTACATGTACAATGTGGCAAGCTCTTAGTAAAATGACAAGTGTAGTAAATAAAAAATGAAATGAGTTACAAAGGTATTTGTACTCAAGATGTTTCTGTAAATTGACAATGTCAGTCTGGCAAGTCAGAGTGCAAAGTGGTGTTAATGGGAAGTAAAAACTACTTTTGTCCATCTTACAGTTTGCATATTGCATTTGTATAACTTCTGGAACCTCCAAAATCCACATCAACAGTATTTTTTTAAGTATCCCTGTATATTGTTTCTGGTATTTACTCTCCTCTACCACTGTCACTAGATAAACAAATGATAACTTGACAACTCTGACACCAAAAACATAATATCTTGTTAAATGGTACTCAGTAATAGGTCATGGCTTGTGCACTTTGATCCCCATCCATGCACATAGGATTAATCAAATATTTTAGTTTTTTACTTTGTCATTAACATTTTTTAACTACTTTTACAAAATCTTATAGACACTGTAGTCAAACAAAATTCCAATAACTGAATTTTAAAATAACTTTTAGTTCCTCACCTGGTTATTGAATATTTTCAAACTACACCCAGGTGGTATTTTACATACAGTGGTAGGGTGAAAACAATGTGAATGATTACAATTTCGACTTTGTACAAAGATGGCACTGTCACCAAGGCATTCGGCATAAATTTCTCCTCCGACATAGTAAAGATGGACACCTAATTTTGAAAATGCCAAAATATCACTTCATGAAAAACATAAAAGCTAACTGTAAAATATAAAAAAATGTTGAAAAATTCAGCATTTTAGAGAAAGCTACAATTCTAAGCTATCAGAAAATTTAGAGGTTTATGTGCTTTTATGTTTTCTTTCCCTACTTTAAAGTAGTGGTCTGAGTCAAATTATTTGCAGTCTGTCTAATAACAGCATTTCCTTTCAAATGATAGGATGAGATTAGAACATTAGCAATTGATGTGTTCGAAAGAAAACAAAGTTTAATAATAAACAAGATTATGACACTTATGATATACAACATTGTTTATTAACAAAAAGGGGACATAGATAAACGTTTCAGAATTCTATCAGATTCCATCTTCAGTATCTAAAGCAAAATAAAATGAATTTACATAAGTCTTTGGATATTGCTAAAGTGCAAATGCTAAATATAATGATAATTAAACAAATAAAACACAAAACAGTAATCATGAGGAGAAACTACAGCAAGAAAACACAACAAAAAAGTAAAATCAGTAATATGAACATATTAAAAAATGTATAATTTAAACAAAGACTGCACGTTATTCAGTGTTATGCAAACTGACCAAAAAGAAATCTTTGCTTGAATATTGATAAATATACAAAGACCAATTTACTGTCAATTTTGTCTTTACAATACAACTTGCAATCTTCCACTATTAAGATAAATTAACTTAATAAATAAATGCAATAATTTAAAATCAAAACAGGCAACAAACCTTTTCCAATATGTCGTCGAGTATTCTCAATTGTTGAATTTCTGTTTACGTTTGACAGCAGACCAAGGCAAAATCTATTATTGTTGTTTGATGGATCAGTGAAGCCATCTATAATGATACTGTGATGTTGCGTGTGAAAAACCTCTCCTACACGCGAGTTTAGTTCATAGTATGCAATGGAACACCAATACTGGGGTTCTGAGTATGCGACTGGCAACACATCTAAGAGATAAAAATTGTTACTCGTAAAATTAAGGAAGAAATATTGTTTGTTGATTTTAGAGCAAGGTCACATTGGGCTATTATCTCTGTCCACTGCAGGGAACTGAATGCCAGATTTTAACTTTGTAAGTTTGTAAACATACCACTGTCTCACTGGATATTTCAATAAATTAAAAGATCTGTGACTGAATAGCTTTTAAAGATAAAATGCTTAATATATGTTGGGATAATAAAATTTCTACACATTATTAACTATCTAGCTTTTTTACTCTGAAGCATGAGTGTCAACAAAAAAAAAAAAAGAAAAAAAAAGTTCAGGCATGAGTATGTCAAAACATTATGCAGAAGAACAAATGCTTAGTAGATCTTATAAAAGGTTTATCCAATTCATATTAATACTCGATAAGACATTATGTGAGAACTGAATTTAATGCATGAATAATACAAAATATTATTTGCTAAAAACAAGATGAACTAAAAGGATGTGATTATAAATACAAAAGACTCATCAATAATCTCTATTAAAATATCAGTTAGGAATAAACAAGAAATGCCTAATTTTGAATCCTAACTACCCATTTTTCAAGAATATTTAGTGTAATTTCTCCCATTTTTGGCTGCAAAAAATGAGAAAACTATGAAATTCTAGAAGGCCTGTCAAGAGTTTGGGAATGTATTTATATTAAAATATAAAGTAATTCTAGAAGGGGGGTCTTAGACCACAAATCATGTCTGTTCACTCAAAAAAGGTCAAAGTTTTGAAACATAAAATATTAATCTTTAGTAGATATACACATTGTAGATCCTTTTTTTTAGCACAAAGTTATACAATGGATTATCTGTACTTTATCTACCATGGGGAATCAAAACCTGGATTTCAGCATTGTAATAAACTTACCACTGACCAACCTGAGGACTGTAGATATCTAATGGCTGGTTAAAATAGAATATGTTAATTACGATGGAAAGGAAGGCTGTATAAACAGCAAAACACAAACTGTATAAACTTTTGAATGGGAGTTTAAGCACGAGGTATGACAAGACAGTCATATTTTAAATATTACAAATACGATCTCTTTAGGGCAAAGCGGCAATATTATACTACATAAGGTCAAAATACCATGGTAATGTTTTGAAAATACATTCCTAATTTTTGTTTGAAATTACCTATGTAAGGAAATGATTTTTCTCAGATAGTGCAACAAGATTCACATACTATATTAAATGGAAGGCTCTAAGTGGAAGAAGTAATATATACTGTAAATAAATAAATAAACAGGCATTTTGTTTCAACTGTATGAATTTCATAATTTAGGCTTACTGTTTTAATAAAAAGTATTTTTTTATGACAACATGTGTATGTATGCGCACATACATACACATTTAAACACTCACAACTGTAGTTTTCTTTTAGTTTAAAGTTGTTGATACTTACACAAATGTGTGACAACCATCAAGTTAAATTTTTAATTTGTTCATTAATCCTCAAATAGCTTACTACCTGTAGGAAAATTGATGGATTCGTCATCTACGGAGGGAAGCCAGCAAGTCAAGAAATTTATATTCATTATATATAAAAGCAAAGTTATCATTAAATTTCAAAAATAATTAGCAGTTCAAAAAGTCCAAATGATATGTAGTTACCTGCAGTGCATTGTTAGCTTAAGAAAGATCCTAAACAAATTAACAGGTACACACAATGTAATCCCAATTGTATGACTGACTTCTTTATGGAGAATACTCAATGAAAGGATACTAGATCTGTTATGTAATTACTTTTTGTGTCTCATTTCTGAGGGTTTATTGATACAAAAAAAAATCTAAATTTTCTAATATTTCAGGATGTTAAGCTTGATTTCTCATTCTCAGGATTTTTTTTTTGGAAAATTATCTGTTATTTAGAATATTTTTAAGGGTCTATATGTTTTTTATTTCTTTCATTTTAAATTAGCTGGGAGTAAGATTAGTATAGTTTTAAAAACCACTTTACATATCAACTTACTCAGAGTTATGATTTTTTATGTTCATAATAAGGTTCACCTGTTGCAAACCTATTCTCAATAAAACTGGCAAAAAATATTGACTTTTTTGAGTTGATTAAAATAAGTACTTAAATTTGGTCAACTTTACTAGAAATACCTTGTGTTATTATTACTGTTGATCAGAAAAGTTAATCATATTTTACTGTTTTATATTGTAAAATATTACAAAAATAAGTTTAAACTTTCTTTGAATTTTTATGTATAAAGTAAACTAGATAACATTATATAATGTTTTAATATAATTTCTGCACTATTTTCTGACAGAAATATTATTGAAATAGATAAATATTACATTTCTGAATTAAACTTTAAACATTAATAATATAAACAATGACACTTGTGTAAAACATCTATTTACAATTAAAAGAAATACAATATTAAAATCTTATAAAATAAATAGTTATTAAAAAC